TCACACGGGTTAGAGTCACACGGGTTAGAATCACACGGGTTAGAGTCACACGGGTAAGAATCACACTGGTTAGAATCACACGGGTTAGAATCACACGGGTTAGAATCACACGGGTAAGAATCACACGGGTAAGAATCACACGGGTAACAATCACACTGGTTAGAATCACACGGGTTAGAATCACACGGGTAAGAATCACGCGGGTAAGAATCACACGGGTTAGAATCACACGGGTAAGAATCACACGGGTTAGAATCACACGGGTAAGAATCACACGGGTTAGAATCACACAGGTAAACTTGTCTGGATGCTCTGTCATCCAGGTAATAAATCCCAAAAGGTTGATTCTGTTCATCTGGACGTTTTCAGTGGGAGAAACGTGTCATCATCATCATCATCATCATCATCATCATCATCATCAGCTGACTGCAGGTTTCAACCTTATAAACAGGACATGATGACTGGAACCAGCAGCACTGGCTAGCTAACCAGCACAATGGGCAATGAAGGAGCTGACCTCTGACCTCTCAGCCCTTTGTTCATACGTGCTGGTTTCACTCACTGTGCAAATGTCCTGTATGTAAGGTTGAAAGCCTTTATTTCATTACACACGTATAACGAGATTAACAGAAGCGTGCGGCCTGCAGGCACCGCAGCATCCAGGGTTTGTGCACGTAGCCAAGTCTCTGAGATGAGCAGGCAGCAGCTGCATATCTGAATCGTCTGTCTCGCCTCGTGTACCATGGATCTGGCGTTTGTGAGGTAGAGGCTCTGCAGCGAGGGTTTGAGTGGCTGCTTCCTCAGCTCTGCCAGTAGTCCAGCCCTGCAGCCTCGCTTTTGCTTCCTCTCTCTTCGCCATCTGCGTCGCCTGTTCGATCCACGGAGAGCCCGCTGGTCTCGCCATCTTTATGAAACGCTGTTAGTCTGATGGGACTCAGACCTTCCAGCTTCTGCCTCGTCAGTCCACAGAATATTTCCCAGGACTCTCTGGGATCATCCAGGTGCTTGTTGGCAGATGTGGGATGAGCCTTTGTGAACTTGTCGCTCAGCAGTGCCTGGATGCCATTTTTGCCCAGTTGAATCATGACCTCTGACCTTAGCTGAGCCGAGTGAGGCCCGCAGGTCTTTAATGTTGTTCTGGGGTCTTCTCTGACCTCCTGGATGAGTCATGAATGAGGTTTTGGAGTAATTGTGGTTGGCGTGTTTCTCCCACTGTGGATCACTGGAGTCCCACAGCCTTAGAAATGTCCCAGTGACCCTTTCAGACTGATGATGTCACTGACTCAGCTGTTTCTTTACATCACAGCAGGACGTGTCTGAGATCTTTGGCCTGCTTCACTTTGTCACACAGGTTTAAGAGCTTCTTGTTTCAGCAGGTCTGCAGTAATCAGGCACCAGTTCAACACGCTGACCGTGATCCTGTGAAACTGGGACTAACCCACTGTGGCGGTGTACACAGGGAAATCTACTGAAATCACTTCAATGATCTTCATGGTGCAATACAGCTCAGTTTGGCTTCTCTTAGCAGAAAAATGCCAATAAAGAAATAAAATAAATGAGTAAGCAGTAAACGGTTGACTCAGAGCACGTGCAGAGTGTGTACTGCTCTCATTGATGCCGTCTGCCTGCTTCTTCATCCTGATGTGATAGATGGAGATATGGAAGCTTCATCCCAAAAATGTGCTCGTGTAGGTCTTTGCTTTCTGCAGCAGCTGTGGATCCGGTCCTGTGGACATTCAGCTGCAGGTTCTGAAGGTTTCAGGGTTCTGGGTCCTTCTCAGCAGCATTTTGTGTCCTTGTGATGTTTCTTTATTTTGGGTTATGTCTGGGTTCATTAGTGCTCAGCAGTTATGTTCCCTGTTTAGCTCCTTGATTATTTAGTATTTTCCCCCTTGTGTCTGTGTGTGTGTCTGTGTGTGTGTCTGTGTGTGTGTCTGTGTGTGCGTCTGTGTGTGTCTGTGTGTCTGTGTGCGTCTGTGTGTGTCTGTGTGTGTCTGTGTGTCTGTGTGCGTCTGTGTGTGTCTGTGTGTGTCAGTGAGTTTGCGTTGGCTCCTCTCACAGCCGCTTCCTGACAGTTTGCCGTGTTTCCACTTTCCCAGCCTCTCAGTCGTGTGCGTTGTTCCCACAGTTACGAGCTGACCCACAGACCTGATGGGAACCACGTGGATGCTCAGCAGCTGATTCGACGAGTGTTTTATGTTTGGGACAATGTCGCCGTCGCCCTGCACGTGGAGAACAGACGGGTAGCTCCTCCTCATCACTCTTTACACCTGAAGCATGTTGAGTTAGAAAAGGAACATTTTTGTCTTTGTTTTTTTAAATATATATTTCATATTATGAGAAGATTTCGTAGCCTGTCAGTCTGCATCCACAGGTTGTATGAAAGCTTCGTCCTGGCAGCAGGGTGAGGTGAGCGATCCTCTGCAGCATGCAGGCAGATGGTCATGAGTCCGAGCTGTGGGAGCGGCGTCGCTGCTGCAGAATATGGACCCAAATTCTTTGTTTCTCTTCATATTTTCATTTTTCCTGCATGGATAGATGATCCAATAGTCTTTGCTCGAGACAGGTGAAAAAACAACACTTTAGTCCAACAGTCTGTGAAGACCGTGTCACCATCCACCTGTCAAAGAGGCCACGCCCCTAATAAGCCTTAATGCAATTTAAACAGGTGAATTCTAAAGATGTGTTTCAGGCTGTAAACATGTTTGTTTCTGCTGTAGTTCTAACATCTATGGCCGGACCTATACTTAACAAAATATTAAAATCATTTTGACGAGGCGATTCAATTTTAAGCGGTAACGTTACCTTGCATTAATAGACCAGGGAACAGACAAACCAATTGTGTGCGAGTTAAGCCACCCATGTGACGCTACTCAGCCAATCAAATCTGTGCATTCAAGGTGATCGCAGACACCGACAGACAGAGGAAAGAGACGGTGAGAGGCGAATAACAAGCGAGACGATTAACGATACAGGCAGTCACAAGAGGTACAACAACGATGGCGCTTTCAAAAGCGAGAAAAGTAAAGACCGAAAATAGAACTTTCAAGACTGCACCGACGCAGACGTGCTCATTCTTCCAGCAAACGCCACCGTGAGACAAAGCACGAAGAGCTGGAAAGTCAGGAAGCACCAAACCTTTCTCTCTTTTTTAATGATGGGAAACATGGATATTGTGGCCTTTTTGGTTGCTATCACTTCACACCTGAATGAACTGAATTTGAAGCTGCAAAGACGATTCAATCTGTGAACCGATGACGCTGCTCTCAGAGGAAACCTGAAGTGTTCAAAGAAGACCTGCAAGGAGACTATGCACACTTCCCAACAGTGAAGGATAGGGATGGGTACCGGTGTCCGGTGCCATGATGGCACCGGTTCTGACATAAATGGTAGTAACCAGAAAAGCAGCGCACATTTCGGTGCTTTATTTCGGTGCTTTATTTCGGTGCTTTTTTTTCCTGAGCTGTGATACACTTCTAGCCAATCATTTTACGTTTCCGAGGATAGTAGGCGGGGCCAGGTACGTACGTTCTTTTAGAGCAGAGCTACAGATTAAAAATGTCCAAGGCGAAGCGGTCAAAAGTCTGGCTGTACTTCACAGCAAAATATGCAAACTCAGCAGCCTGCAACAAGTGCTTTAAGCTGATACTGTGATACTGTCAAAGGAGGTAACACCTCAAATCCGATGAAACACTGGCGACGCATAGCGTTTTTTTTAAAAGCCAGAAATGCACCGTATTTGATACGCTGTGGCTCAGAGACTGAGACCATCACCTGAGACCATGCAGACAGCAAAATACTACTAAGCATCGGTGTGGTGCCTGTTATCGGACCCGGAGTTAGCAACATCCCCCAAAAACCGAAGAGGAGAGTCCTGGCCCCTAGCCCTGCCAGTGTAGCAGAAATGATGAGGATGATGATGCGAGCAGCAGCCGTTCTTCTCTGCGTGAGTAGCTTATGTTGTTCGTGTGTAATTTACGTTGAGTAGGCTAACCACGTTATTACATTAATGCATGTAAGGTGAACTAGCAAACATCATCATAGCTACATGCGGCTGTCTTCTTGTTTGATGGCAGATACTCCCTTCACCCTGGCCAAAAAGGCTAAAATGACCAAAGAAAAAGTGGAAAACAGTTAAACATGAGAGGTTTTTGGACAAAGTTTGTGTTTTTTCCATTGTTTAAGCACTGCTTCCAGCCAAGAGTGATACCATATATGCCCCATAGCTGCAGAAAAGGCTAACATTGTTATCTTTTTACAAAAAAACAGCTGAACATGAGAGGTTTTTGGACCAATTTTGTGTTCTCCATTCTTTAAGCACCGGTTTGAGCACCGTTTAAGCACCGGCACCGTTTCAAAAGTACCGATTTGGCACCGGTATCGGATAAAACCAAAACGATACCCATCCCTAGTGAAGGAACAGGTTCAGGGAGATGTCATCTGTTGTTGACTTTGTTGATAAGCTGGTTGAAAACTTCAGCAAACGTTTCGATAGCTTCAGCTTTGGACAGCAGCTCATCATGTAAAGAACCCATTTCTCATCACTGATGTCAGAGGGTTCTCAAAGGAAGTCACACAGCACTTCAAGTGGCCAAATGCTGGGCCTCTTCAAATGCAGCTGGTTGATCTCCAAGCAGATGTGGCCCTGAAAGAGCAGTTTGGGAGAACTGAACCTGCCTTTCTGGCTCCAAATGGTCCCAAATCTGAGGAAAGTAGCCCTGCACATCTCGACCATGTGTGGCTCCACATACAGCTGTGAGGCAGCTTTCTCCACAATGAACATAATAAAAACTCAATATCGTTCCAGGCTCACCAATGAGCACCTACACATGTGTATGAGAACAGGTCTGACACCATTCCAGCCCAGATTTACAATCCTGGCAAACTAAAGCTCAGTTCTCTCACCGAACAACAGAAAGTGGAATATAAGGCGGAAAGAAAGAGAAACTGTGAAATTGGTAAGATGCTTTGATGTTATCTGTTGAAAACGTCGAGATGTGAAAGGTAAAGAAAAAACTCCACCTGCTGCTTTTTTCTGAAATGAAGCACTTTGTTTAAAGAGGCACAATTTAGTCATTTTATTTATTTTCTCTAATTCATTTTAAACAGCAGCCCTACATCTAATGTAGGCCTACTGTGTGTTTCAGTGTTAGCGACAAATTTTGTTGAAATGTTTTAACTTGTATTTTCACTGATTTGACAGTTCATAGATATTAATGTAAAAAAAAGGGCTGCTTCTCTATCACAGTCATAACGCAAGTTAGACATTATGATGTCCCGGACCTCTGCTTGAGAAGATTTTCTCCAACTGGACCTCCTGAAAGTTTATTTAATAAAGGTCATCTTAAATTGTAGTTGAATACCCCTAATCTATGGAGACTCACTGCTGCCTCTGCTGGGCGTCAGAGGAACTGCAGCTGGTGGCGCTTCATGCTTGAGAAGCTGGTTTATGTTTGACTGCAGGACCTCGAACATGATTATTTGTTGTGATCATGTAGGTTCACACGTGTTCTCTCAGCCTTAATGTTTCCAACTGTCCCTGAACGCAACACTCCTGCAGGTGTACCGTCAGAGTTCAGACGTTTGCAGGTTTCCTTTAAAAACATCCTGTTGATCCTTCAGGTGCTGACGTTTGACGCTGACCGCCTGAGACAGAACCTCAGGTTCTGTTGGCCGGAGGAAGTAACAGCCAGAAACGACGAGGAGGAGTTCGATGATTTCGAAGACGCTACAAACTTGGTTAAATGCCTGTGGCCGGGCTGGCGCTTCCCCCTGGAGGAGGAGCGCTCGCTCCTGCAGCGTTACACAGGTATCACATGTGCACACTGGAGACTGTGACCCCTCCCAGTGTGAGGTACAGCGATCTTTGCGTTTCTGTAGAAAGCAAGTCCAAGTCGTGCCGTCCTCGGTACTTTGCAAGGCAAGGCAAGGCAAGTTTATTTGTATAGCACAATTCAACAACAAGGTGATTCAAAGTGCTTTACAGAGACATTAGAAACAAGAACAAATAAAAAGCACTCTTCCTTTAAAGCGTGAGGGAGGGGCTGTGTGACATCATGAAGAATATCGATGACGACTTTAAAGCGTCTGTCGTTTCATCTCAGACCCACAGAAACAGGAAACACGGAGCTTAAAATGATCCTTTAAATCTCGTTTTAACAGCAGACTTTCTCCATCTCAGTGTCCGACATCAGACTGGTTCTTGTTGGGAGGCCTGGAGTGGGGAAGAGCTCCACTGGGAACGCCATCTTAGGAAGGCTTGCCTTCAGTCCAGGCGGTCCATCCTCAGGTAAGTCTAACCCGTCTGTGGACTGATTTAGCCCCAGCCTCTTTGGCTCCCCTACATGGCTAACATTAGCTTAGTGTAGGAGGTCAAACGCCTCAAACTGGGAGCATGTTCAGAGTAAACTGGTGGAATCCTCTTCTCAGGGACGTCATCGTGCTGCTGGCAGAGCGAGTGGGTGTTCGGCCACCAGGTGACCGTAGCCGAGACTCCCGGTCTCTCGGAAACATCAGACGATGCCGTGAAGAGGGACATCTCCACATGTGTCAACATGCTGAGGCCCCACGCCGTCCTGCTGGTCACCAGGGTGGGGTCCTCCACCGTGGAGGATCTAGCCACCATGAGGCAGGTGGAGGAGTTCTTTGGGATGGACGTGTCGAGGTACACCAGGATCCTCTGCACCTATGCTAACCCGGCGGCTCCAGACATCGAGAGACAGCGCCGGGCGGCGGGACCTGAGCTGCTTTTCAAAGTGGGCTACAGGTACCACGTCCTCAACAACAACCCGGACCACTGGGACGGTCAGCAGGTCTACGATCTGGTGCAGGCCGTGGCGAGGATGGTCATGGCTAAAGGAGGGGAGGTCTACTCCATCAGGAACGCCACCTGAGTGCTGGGTGATGTTGTAATGTTGTTTACACTGTTTACCCTCAGGTGATGGAGTGTGGCGTACGATAAATGCACCAGAACACCCAGCACAGCGACACCTGCTGGCCTTAGTGAGGAGGTCACCTCCCAGTTTAGCTTCCATGATGCATCATGGGAAGTCCCCCCCCATACTGACGTCAGCAGGTTTGAAAATGCAGTTTGTTTGTAGCCGACTGCGAATGTTTAAACTGTGAATATTTGCAACGATCCAAAAGCCTTTTTAAAAAATCCCAACAGTGCCGATCTCACGAAGATCATTCAAGACACACATGTGTCTGTGAGGGTTTGAAAATGACAGGAAGCCAAAACAGGAGAAATCTGCTCTCTCTTTCTAGTCCCTGTCAGGACTCTTGCTGCAGCATTTTGGATCAGCTGAAGGCTTTTCAGGGAGTTTTTAAGACTTCCTGATAATAATGAATTACAGTCGTCCAGCCTGGAAGTAATAAATGCATGAACTAGTTTTTCAGCGTCACTCTGAGACAGGATATTTCTAACTTTGGAGATGTTGGTCACATGAGAGGAATGTGTGAGTGACAGAACAAATGAACCTTCTGAAGTTTGGAAAACTGTGTCCATGAGGACTCCAGCATCACCGCGTCTCCACCTGCTGGTGAGGACCCGCCTCTGCCTTCGTGCAGACCAACCGCTGCACAGCGTTACTAACAGGAGGATCATTTCCACGGTGGACACAATCAGAGTGCTGCATCTGCCAATCAGCAGTGATTTTCTCTGTGTAGCCCCTCCCACAGACACACCTATGGGCCCAGTTCTCACCTGACCCAATGCAGCACCGACAGCCTGTCAGTGTTGACCATTTAAGCCAATCAGCTGCCAGCACATGTGTAAAGATGAAACTGAGGAAGTGAAAATGAAAAACCACATCATCTCTGATGTCTCCTGTAACTGATTCAATAACGATGCTAATGATGTTTCTGCGGTCAGGTTTTATTCTGATTTTATTCTGATTATTAATGAGCAGTATTTAAATGAACTGTTTTAACCTTTAAAGCTTCTTTTCCTTTGATGTCTCCTGTTTCACTGTTATCAGGAGTGTTTTGTCTTTGTGGATGTGCCAAATAAAATATTTTTCATATCGTTTTCAGACAGTAAACTTTAATTACGTTAAATTAGAGCTTAACAATCCTTTTCACCTCCTGCTGTGTGACCTGGTTACCCCATAACAGAATATGTTGAAATAATTTCTCACAGTCAGCTTTTGCAGTCAGACTATAAATACATAAGAAGACGTAGTTTTAGAGCAAGCGAGGGATATCAGTGGAAAATAAAACCTGACAGGCCTCAGAAGTTACTTCACCTGAAGGAGCGCAAACTGCTGTTATTAATGAGCCCTGAATGACCTTGGAGAGCTAGCAAAGAGCCAGCTAAACAACAACAGCTAATGTTTGGCTCGAGTGTCCTAAAAATCCCACTTTGCCTCAGATAAACAGTTTGATTCCATCCTCACATCAAACATAGTTAGATCCACTTCAGAGACAGTTTCAGTAACTGAGGCTAACAGCAGCTAATAGAGGCTAACAGCAGCTAATAGAGGCTAACAGCAGCTAATAGCAGCTAATAGAGGCTAAAAGACACTAACAGCAGCAAACAGAAGCTAACAGCAGCTAACAGCAGTCCATATTGACAGAAAGTTCAGCATATTTTCAACATCTTGCCTCAGTATCACTGTCATCAGACAGAAGTGAGTTTCACTCACTCACTGATTCCTCCAAACTAAATACAGGTGGACACCAGCTGGCACCAGTGATCTGACAGCTTACACTACAGATGAATGTTATTTTGCTGACTTCAGGGGTGAAAATGTTAAATCCTGCAAAATACTTGACACATATCTGTTTCTTATTTCTGATTTACTGCTAAATGTTGATATTATTCAAATATGTTAAAATGTAATGTGAATTAAATGTTTTATATAGAAACAGTAGTAGAAGGCCCGGCGTGGCCATTACAAGGCCTAACAACAACAGTTAGAAACAAACAAATAATGGTGCAGTAACATCGGCTGTAGATGTGATCATCACCATGAATCCAGGGCGCTTCTGTCTGGTGACCTCGGCATATCAATGTCGAAATAGCGGTAAAACTGTGGGAGGAGCCACGGGAGTTCAGGGTCGGATCTGAGACCCCTTAGGAAGGACTTTCATTGGACTTCAAAGAACTTCTGTCCACGAGCTCAGGAAGTTCTCAGGGCGTGCAGGGGAACAGCTGACATGTACTCGATTTATTGTCGAGGGTGGAAAGAGAACTTTGAGGAGCTCCTGAGTCTGACCGAACCTTCGTCTGTGAAGGAGACACAGCCTGAAGATTTGGGGGAACCTCTGCAGATACACTGGCAGAGATGCTGTCTGGTTCAGGACGTCAGGACTGACTCAGACTTGTCCTGAGATGATAACGGCTCTGTACATCACGGGCTGTTTGGGCTTTAAGGTGCGGACAGCGCCTTTGTACTGGCAGACTGAGGTGGTGGTTCCCTTTGGAGGTCTTCCAGGCAGGAGACCCCGAGTGAGACCAGAACCTGCTGGTCTGGTTAGGAAGGCCTCAGAAGTCTGGAATACGGCTCAGCCTGCAGGTGACCTGACTTTGATGGATGGATATGTTTTTACAAGCAGACGCTTCTGATGAGCGCTGGGGTCAGAGCGCAGCTTGTTTTTGTAACGTTTTTTATTGTTGGCAAGAGTGTTAATAAAAAAATCGTTAATCATGAAACAGAAACACGAGAACACAAAGAGAAGAAGAGCGTTGGGTCAGCTCTAAATGACCTGTTCAAGTTCAATAAGCAGAAAGAGGTGAACATGTTTCAGTAAAACGACCCTGATGGTTTCCATCACAGCATGAACGTCCGGCTCATATCAGCCTCGGGTGAATTCTGCTCAGCCCGGACGCAAGTGAAGGAGGAAGAAACCACAGTGGCATCAGAAACAGTTTGGCACCCGCACTTCCTGTCTCATTACATCACACCGTTTCCTACAACTCCGAGGAAATACACCAGACAAGCCTTTTATGGAAATGTAAGGTCGGTTAGGTTCACTGAACAAAACCATGACAGCAGGTCCTTGGTGATGAAGCAGAATACAAACAAACAACAACAAACCTCAAACATCTGAAGACGAATCAAACTGAAACTTCAGGCAAGACGTGCAGTCGATGAACCAAAACCAGAACACTCTCTGTGTGTGTGTGTGTGTGTGTGTGTGTGTGTGTGTGTGTGTGTGTGTGTGTGTGTGTGTGTGTGAGAGAGACTGGGTGGGGTCTGAATAAAAGTGTGTCCTGTCAGATATCAGAGACCAATTCTCTTCAGCTCACCCTCCATGATCATGCAGACGCAGACAAACAGCCGAAACTATACCGAACATTTGATAGAGGGTCAGCATGTGCGGCTGAATGATTTAAGAAGTACAGCTGAGCGTCAGGGTTTGGAGAACCAGTACCTCTACAAAGAAGACATCCCTGACTACCCCCGACCCGAGTTCTGCGTGTCTCACCTGAAACATGACACAGAGCGATGGGGGCTATGTGGGATCCGGAAGGACAGAGGCTTCAAGGATCCTCGTGGAGGCTCCTCAGATCCTCGCCATCTCTCCCTGGTGTGGTGGAGTCTGGCTGTGGGACCCGAGGAGATCCAAGCGGCTGAGACGAGGCTCCTGGAGGAGACCTACCCAGACCGGATGGAGGAGCAGGCTGCAGAGCAGGAGAGCTTCCTGTGGAAGTTCGCCTCCTCTCCAGCCTTCAAGAGGAGGTCGAGACTGGGCTCGTACCGCTTCAGGTTTCCTCTGGAGGAGGTGCTGACGGCCTACAGCGAGCAGGTAATCCTACGTTTAAATGACTGTTTGCATTCACAGAGCTGGCATCACCGCCTGTGAGCACCATAAAAGAGTCAGAGATGTCTGTGAACTTCATGTCAAACACTTTTCAGAGGCAGAGTTTGAACATGAATATCTAAAACACTGTTAACAACAGAAACCTGACAGTTTCACCCACATGGAAAAGATATGAATAAATCTTATAAAGTTTGTTTCTGTCTTGTGTGAAACTTGAATGAAAAGCATACAAGAGTGAAAACAGATATAAGATCCCTTGAAAGATTATATAATGAAACTTGTATGTTTTGTATACTTCCTAAAGCAATATATGAAAATAATGAGAAAGTGGCCACTTTCATGAGTAAATCATAGAAGTTTTTACTATTTCTTTTCCATATGGGCACTGGTGGGTCTTACCAGAAACATGAAACAGGATCTAGTATTCAAATATCTGCATCCTGGATCATTTAGATATTTTAAAACTTCAAGTAGTCCTGTAAAAAACTGCAAACAATAACCTGGGACTGTTCATGAATGATGTATATTTATATTTCTCCATAATGTTAAAACACTGAATACTGTAAATATTACATTCTTAGTCACAAACTGAAGAACGTGCTTTTTTCGTTCAGCTTACATGGACTCAGTAAATATTTCAGGTGGAAACACAAACATCAGCCGACTGGAACAGACCCAGTTAAAACTCAAAGTGTAATCACAACATCCCTGACAACACCGAACAACAGGACACTTCCATCCTTCGTTTACAGCGAGCTGCTGTCGTGACTCAAAGTGCGCGTCGACCGAAACTCGCTGTGCCGCGTCACTCTTTCTGTCTCTGGAAGTAAAACTGAAACTTCTGTTATTGTCCTCAGTTTTGCTCCGGAGCTCCGCCCATCATGAGGGTGTTCAAGACCTCGCTGTACAAACAGGAAGTGCAGTACTCTGTGCTGGTACACAGCCCGGCCAATCAGCAGTTCTTCTCAAGGTTTCCTTTGCTCCCTGATGATGACCCGGACGCCGTCTGCACTTATAGAGACGGACGCTTCATCTGGAGACCGGAGGCCATGTGTAAGACACACAGGTAAGAATCACACAGGTAAGAATCACACAGGTAAATGTGGAAATGACCTCCAGTGAGAGACTAAAAGCGCCCTCTGACCTCTGTGTCTCTGCCCGTCCTCTCAGCTACGAGTTGATCCGAGGACTTGACGAGAACCAGATAGACGCTCGGGGGCCGATTAGGCACCCAGAGTTTTATGTGTGGGATCACGTCGCCGTCGCCCTGCACATGGAGAACAGAAAGGTACCTTCGCTGCTCCTCCTCCTCACTATCAGCCAGCCGGCGCCTCCAGCCCGCTCCAGACTGCATCCACCACAGCGTGAGCGCTGAAAGGCTTTGAATGAACCGCCGTGTGAAGAGCTCAGAGTGCTGGACCATCACGTCTGACTCTGACAGTTTAATTTGTGACTGAGCTTCAGTTTCATGGTTGTCGTTTTCTGTTTCAGGTGCTGAGGTTTGATCCTGATCAGCTGAGAGAAAACCTGAGGTTCTGCTGGAGGGACAACAGGACAATCATACCCCAAACACGCTTTGATCACTTCTGCAGAGCCCACTCCCTCCTTAGACGCCTGTGGCCCAGATACTCCTGGCTGGAGAAGGAGCCCCCACTCCGGCCTACCTGAGGCAATGAATCCACATTTCTCCTGACAGCTGCCTCGAGTGGACACTAGGAGAACTGCAGTCTTTGTTTTCTTATTAAAAATACTCTAGTAAAAGTAAAAGGTATCTCTGAGGTTGTGTCTACTATGAATGTGATAAAAAATAAAGAAATAAAGATGAAATAAAGATAAATGAACTCGGGGGTGGCATAAGCTCCACCCCTGGCAGCCCTGAACTGGATCAGTAGAAGATGATGGGCTCAGAGTTCCAGCAACACAACTTCTATCACACCTGGAGACTGATGAGGTACAATACAAACAGTACAGCGAGTAGCTAGGACGCCAATGTCACAGCCTGGCCCTCGCCATAATTTGTATCATGGTGGCTGGACTTTGTTCTCTGTGTTCTGTGCCTTTAAATGTCTCTGCAGGTCCCTGCTGATTTGAGAGCTGGCAGCTGCTGATTGGTTCCCTGATCAAGTGGCTTTTTTAAAAACCCTCCCCAGCAGCAGCAGCTGAGCTGTGTGTGTGTGTGTCTGTGTCTGTGTTCCTGTCTAGCTATCTTTGTGAGGACGGCAAGCTGCATTCTACTATACTTGTGAGAACCAACAGTCACTCTTCATGCAGCTGAGTACATCAAGTGTTTAAAACAGAAGCTGTGCAGGTCTGAGATCAGCAGCTTTGTGTAACACCAAACTGAGGTCCTGGTAATGCTGATATATAGTGACAGAGTTACATGAGTGATTCAATTCAATTCAATTTTATTTATATAGCGCCAAATCACAACAAAAGTCGCCTCAAGGCGCTTCATAGATACAGAGAAAAACCCAACAATCATATGACCCCCTATGAGCAGCACTTTGGCGACAGTGGGAAGGAAAAACTCCCTTTTAACAGGAAGAAACCTCCAGCAGAACCAGGCTCAGGGAGGGGCGGCCATCTGCTGTGATTGGTTGGGGTGAGAGAAGGAAGACAGGATAAAGACATGCTGTGGAAGAGAGACAGAGGTTAATAACAGATATGATTCAATGCAGAGAGGTCTGTTAACACATAGTGAGTGAGAAAGGTGACTGGAAAGGAAAAACTCAATGCATCATGGGAATCCCCGGCAGCCTACGTCTATTGCAGCATAACTAAGGGAGGATTCAGGGTCACCTGGTCCAGCCCTAACTATATGCTTTAGCAAAAAGGAAAGTTTGAAGCCTAATCTTGAAAGTAGAGATAGTGTCTGTCTCCTGAATCCAAACTGGAAGCTGGTCCCACAGAAGAGGGGCCTGAAAACTGAAGGCTCTGCCTCCCATTCTACTTTTAAATACTCTAGGAACAACAAGTAGGCCTGCAGAGCGAGAGCGAAGTGCTCTAATAGGGTGATATGGTACTACAAGGTCATTAAGATAAGATGGGGCCTGATTATTTAAGACCTTGTATGTGAGGAGCAGGATTTTGAATTCTGGATTTAACAGGAAGCCAAAACAGGAGAAATCTGCTCTCTTTCTAGTCCCTGTCAGGACTCTTGCTGCAGCATTTTGGATCAGCTGAAGGCTTTTCAGGGAGTTTTTAGGACATCCTGATAATAATGAATTACAGTCGTCCAGCCTGGAAGTAATAAATGCATGAACTAGTTTTTCAGCGTCACTCTGAGACAGGATATTTCTAACTTTAGAGATGTTGCACAAAGGGAAGAAAGCAGTCTTACATATTTGTTTAATATGTGCATTGAAGGACATGTCCTGGTCAAAAATGACTCCAAGGTTCCTCACAGCGTTACTGGAGGCCAAGGTAATGCCATCCAGAGGAAGAATCTGCTTAGATACCATATTTCTAAGCTTTTCAGGGCCGAGTACAATAATCCTTTTTGTCTTTAAATTTATCAATAAAACAGCTGCAGCCTTCACTACAGCACGTGTGGTACTTTAACCTTTGTACTGTTTTCCTCACTTAATTTTACAGTTAACATGTTGGATGATCTGTCTGCTGTCACTGGGTGGTGCTGAGGTCTGAATCTGAGGGCAGCTCCTGTAATCACAAACTGAAATATAAAGTTTATCTCAAATCTGAAATAAAGCTGATCCTTCTGTCCTCACACACTCAGGATCTGAAGCTCTTCTCTTACATTTTTTAGTCCTACAGTTCTGCTGATATGAGCTGTTTTTTTACAAAAGGACGAAGCCTTTTAAACCAGCAGATTATCCAGTATAATGTTTACCGTTGACTTGTTGGTGCTTGCAAATGCAGGTCTACAAAGATGAGATGATGGAGCAGGTTTGAGTCCTGGTTCAGTCTGCTGCTGCAGAGGTGGAGGTGTTATCAGCAGTGTTTGAGCTGCTGCCTGAGCTTTGGACAACAAAGATAAATGCTTTAAATGATTTCTCTCAAAGGATGTATGGAGCACTGCACATGTAAACGCCGTGTCCCCTTCCTCTGAGCCGAACAGACAAAAGGACAGCACAGCCAAGCAGCAAACACTTGTATTATGACTCCGCCTCCTGATTTGGGCTGGGTCCAGTCCTTGGCTCATCTTACATCTTCTGCAATGGACATCTTCCTGTAAGAGGAGACAGACGACACCTCTCTTCGTACACATGGCGACTGTCTCCATCCTCCAGTCAGCTCTTCAGTGGAATCCTTCACTGCAAATACACACAAACTGTACTGGGGGCTTAAAAACTAAAGTAACTAAAACATGGAGGTAAAGAAGTGTGTGTAAATGTACTAATCAACTTATATATGCTCGCCATGTTTGTTTTTAACTGCAGCTGATGATGTCAGACTCTGCTTCTAGGCCCCGCCCATTAAACACACCTGTACCTACATAGATAAGCTCTGTTGGCTGAATTCAGCTGAAGTGGAGTCCACTCTGCATGGACACAGCCTCCACTGACTGCCCTCACATGTGCTTTAGTGCAGTGTACTGAAGCACAACACACACACACACACACACACACAACCTGGCCAAGTCTACCAAACGTCCGTGCCCAGGTAACACCACGTGGACGTGACTGCTGGGACAGAGCGACTCTTCTGTCGGCACACAAATGAAGCTGCACTGCAGCTAAAAGGCAAATAAGACTTTTGTATATATTCCGAGAAACAAGCATCGCTGTGCTGCACTGCACAGGAGAGGCTAGTAGTTTATTACTCATTTATTTAATGGGTTTGCTGTGGTAACCAGTGCACAGTGGGAGACAAAGGAATATGAGTATAAACATGGCTGTGTCTTGATGCAGCCTGTGCTGTGTTCATGTGAGAAATGTCTGCCTCTTGCATCCACATTATTAATGACTCACACTCCCAGCTCTTTGTATTACTGCACATCGGTATAAAACCTTCACCTCTCTGCGTGTTTGGGCTTTTCTTCTTCTTCTCACATTTCAAGTTCTTAGATTTTTGGCTTATTTGAAACTAAAAGTCTCAGATTTTCAGTTTGTGAAGAAAAAGAAGAAAACAGAAACATTTGGATCGTATAAAGAAGCCTCTGTGTGACGGCGACGTCTCCACCAGCCAGCAGAGTGAGTGTGTGTGTGCGTGTGTGTGTGCGTGCGTGTGTCTGTGTGTGCGTGTGTGTGTG